GTGTAAGATCTGTAAGTCTGTGCCTCACTATCCGGGCATTTCCCCTCTCTGTGTGCACTTGGTGGGGCCACCCAGAGGGTGCGTCTTTTTTTCCGAGACTCCTCCTGCTTTGCCGGACCCCTCCCCTCTCTGTGCGCTCAGTGCAGGGCTGGGGTGTGTCTTCTGCAATCCTCATCTCTCAGCCCCGCCCAGCCCAGAAGGGTTCTCAGGCCTCCACCACGGACACTGTGGGCATTCCTGCAGCCCTGGTCAAGGCCCTCTCTGGGCCTCCCACCTTCCCCCCGGTATTGCGGCCCCCTGTGTGGTTGAGTTATCTCCCCAACCAGGGCGCGAGCACCCCGGGGGAGGATCCCACAGCACACAGTTCCTCTTTGAGTCCCCCCAGCGTGAGCTGGCTTGGCACCCTCAGGCCGTCAGCTCTCCAGCAGGTTCAAGCGGGCTCGGGGGCACCCCGGTCACCCCTCTCCCAACCAGAAATCAGTCTGGGGTTCTTCCAAACTGAAGGCCACAGAGATGGCATCTGCCTCCCAGAAGCAGAAAGTTTACCTTGGGCCGAAGCCCCAGGTGTGGTGGAGTGACAGTCTGGCCGGGATCCTCTTCCCTGCCCTCCCGACGCTGGCCGGGGGTTCCCCACGCCATCAGCCCCGCCAGAGATCCGTGGGTGGAGTGGGATTGGTGGCGACTTTGTTGGACCATTGGCCAACTCTGCTCCACATTCATTCTCTGCCCCACAGATATTGATGAGTGCGCAGATATTGAAATGTGTCCTATCAACGCAGCATGCACCAACACTCCTGGGAGCTACTTTTGCACCTGCCATCCTGGCTTTGTGGCAAGTAAGGGACAGCTGAATTTCACAGGCAAAAGCGAGAAATGTAGAGGTGAGCAGAGGGTTTGCCGGACAGCCCTGGAAATACGTTTCTCCTTGTTCCTCTGGGTTTCTTGATATTCTCTAGTTCTTTGCAGATATTGATGAATGCCTCAAAGATCCGTCACCATGTGGTTCAAATTCCATCTGCACCAATGCTCCGGGCTCCTACAGCTGTAGCTGCACTGTGGGCTTTCGTCCCAATCCAGAAGGCTCTGTGAAACATGGCAACTTCAGCTGCAAAAGTAATAATTTCCTTGTGTGTCTTGACAATGGCATCTGTGTCTTGCTTTGATTGTAAAATCCTCATTCTACCCAAGCTCTGGATCCTTCTCTTACTCTCATCTTGTTCACATATTATTTTTATTTTTATTCATTCATTTACTCACTCATTAATTCATTAACCCAATAAATTATT